TATCAGTGCTTGAGCAGAATGCTGCCATGGGATTCCGCTGGACAAGAATAATAAATATCACTTGAAAATACTCCAAAATCCAACGAAACTACACTGGTGAGATGCAGAAACCCAGCATCTTTGTCATCTATCCACACCTTGGGTTTCTGCATGGTAAAAGAGCACAAAGGAACGGGCTGAAACCACAGCTTTAAAACACATGCTTCCCCACCTCTGCTGATTTACTCACAATAGCCAGATCTAAATCAAACTTGGCTGTCACTTACAGAGGGACACTGAGCACCCGTGTGTTACCACAGAGAAACCCATCTCATCACCTGCTTTCACCTTCCCATGCAACAACATCAGAGCTTCACATGGTCAGAGCCAGGTGAGCTCTGAGGTCCCTTCCAACCATTCTATGATTCACCTCCTCCCTTTTGGAGGCCCACAGGACATCCTGGCTGGTGACACTGTAATTACACAAGACAGAAGTGGAACCCACCTAGGACAGCAAAGGAGACGAAGCCTCCCGAGCCCCGCAGCAGCCGTACAGCTGCGGGTTGTGTAGAAGTGCTCTGATGTGAAGCGATGAGCTGCTAAAACGCCCCGCAGGCAGAGCTGAGCGGGGCACACAGCGCTCCTCCCCTCTGCTCTGCTCTGCCATCCTCAGCAGCGCTCCAACAGGTGAAGCAGTACACTGCCACGGATGCATTCAGATAGCATTTTTCACTCCATGTCTCCAAATGCATCACAAACTGGAAACCTGCAGCACCCACGTACCTTCACTTAGGATTAAACCAATCCACTGGCTGATAAAAGAAAAAACAAAGCCGAAGCACTTGGCCAAGGGCCACAGCTAATCCAAAGCAGAATTCTTTCCTGTAAACACCAGAAAAATCATACCTGCCACACATCCAAATACCATCCCACTGCCTAGGACAGGGATGAACACCCAATCCCTGCTAATCCCTTTACAGCTCACAAAAGGAACATCTTCTCTGTGAAAATTACCAATCTGGCCATGCCCTGGGTGAGCACAGAGGTGGGTGGCAACCACTTGGGATTCTCCTTCTTCTGAAGGGCCCATGTTATTCCAGTGACTTCAAGCACGCCCTATTTTGCTACTGTGTGTTTATTATATTAGACCTTTTAATTTATTCTTTTTATTTTATCTCATTATTAAAAAGCCACCACCGTATTTCACAAAACCTAAGATCTAATATTTGTGTAGAAATCCAAATGCATTAAAAATTGTCCCACTCACCCTGAAACATTACTAAGCTAACACAAGAGCCCAGACCTGCCTTTCTAAATAGAATTTTTCATTACACGAGATAAATTCAAGCTATGTCTCCCAAAAACTCAGCCATACAAAAGAGCTTTCTCCACCACAGCACTATCAGTGCAAGCTGACTAGGCTGCCTGCGTGGCAAAAGGAAAAAGGAAGGATGGGAGACACAGCACTTCAATCCAAACCAGTAAAGCATTTTGGAAAACACCTGAAGAATTTAAAATGCAACCAGGAGATTCAAACCCCACCTCAGCAGGCTGATGCTAACTCTACACTGCTCCAGGGAACAGAGCTTCCTTTATTCCACCAACCCACTGCTTGGGGACAAAATATCAACAGAAGGAGAGTTATAGATCTTGATGTAGCAACAAAGGGAATTGCCTTTCCGAGAGGCTCTCCCCACGGGGGGTAAAGGACAAAATAATGAATGGTTTCAGCTATCAATGTGTCACTTGCTGAGTAATGACTGTCCCCAAGTGCGACGACAAGGCACTCGGAGGGGTTTGCCTTCAATCCTTCCACTGAGAGACAAAACACACATCTGCAGTTTGTCACTCAGATTACTTCTTGCAAATCTGAACCATTTTCAGAACCAGCTATTTCAACCCTCACTCCTACCTAGTGGAAACACAGGCAGGCTGCACCAGCCTGGATTACCCATGGTGACAATTCAGGTTAGAACTCCAGCGGCCACACTCTACCCCACTTGTGTACAATGATGTCATTGGTTATTGTAACACGTGCTCTGTCCAGGCACAAATTCAATCTGCACCAAACTTTCTGCAGAGGGCCATAAGCTGTCACATCATAGCGACTTCATAACCCATCAACTCGCTTGTGCTCATGCTGGTTTCAGAATCTCTCTTGCATCCCACCTGAAAATACAACGCAAGTTAAAAAGGCAAATTGCTGCAACAGAAAATTACCATTCAGTGCTCCAAAATGTCAGTTTAGAGTAAATTTAGCAGCACTCTTCTGCACAAAAACAACAGACAGATCTGCCTGGCTCCTTCAAGGCGTGATGTAGGAAGAGAGACTTCAACAAGAAATCCTAGAAATAATCTTAAAAAACAAAACAAAACAAAAACAGTCACAGGTAAGAGAAGCCAAACTCCCCACAAAACATACAGCATTGCTTTTAGTCATTGTTTCTCCTCCTCTCTGACATACCCCCAGCAGCACACTTACAGGCAGAGGACACTGTTACATCACTCCCTATGGCAGATCTTGCTGCTGCCCTCATTTCCCAGGGATTAACCAGCAGCTCAGACCAGCTTTTGCCAACTGCACAGAAGGCAGTGCAGTCTTAATGGCAAAGGTCCCCAAACCCTTTCATTTAAGAACTGCCACGGGTGCCCCTGGTACTGGAGATGCCTGAGTTCACCTCGGGATGCTGACATAATTACACCAGTTCCAAGCTAGATTTCTTTTTTTGTCTTTGTGATAGTTAATTTTGACTAAAGAACCCCACTGGCACACAGGGGAGACCCAGGGACACTAAGAACTGAATTCCATTTACTAGCTGTTTCCCTCTGGCACACAGCTGTATGAACACTGATGCCAAATCAAGGATGGGAAAGGAACATTGGGTGGCAAAGGGGACAGAGCAATTCTTCCGTGCAGCCTTAAAACCCCAAGGAGTGATGGTGGTCTAAAAAAGCACTCAGCTCAGTTTCAGGCTTGCAATGCAAAATGCCAAATTATGACAGAAAGCTCTTCAACAACAGCCATGAGCAAGTAATGCTTCATCAAACAGCAAGATCTGCAAAACGGTCCTGTTAAGAAAGTCACAACTGTCTCATCTCGCCCTCCCAAATGATCAATACAAAACTGTGAACACTTAAAGGCAGGAAGGCTTGGATGTTTTAATAAGCACACAGAGAGAAAGAAAGCAGCTTCCACACAGCACACCCCTACCGCTTGTTTGTAAGGCTGATGGCCCCATCTTTCTTGCTCAGCTATTCCATTCACTCATGAATTATGCAGAATTGACTTAATAGAGCCAGGAAATAGTGTGGCAGTGATAGCCCGTCCCCTGGCAAACACCATCAGTCTTGTAGCTGCCTTAGAGAACTGAAGGCACACAGTGTGCTGAAAACACAGGCAGAAGGCACAGCCTCCCAGCCCGCAAACATCACAGGGGTGACTTGTATGAGAAGAAGCACTGATGTGGGGTTACTGGGGGTGAGGGGGCCAGAGCCATCATCTATATGGAGATAAGCCATCTCGCTATGGAATCAATCAGTGCCTCCAGGAAAAACACAACAGCCATCCTTACCCCAAGGGAGTTGGTAACGGAGATAAAACCAAAGTCTATTTTCACTTGCGTTCAAGCCTGAAGCAAAAGCAGTCCCTTCTCAACTCCAGGCAATGCTCCAGAGGCAAGCTGACAAAGTTAGGTCAAATGAGGGCTGTGCACAGTTAGCGTGGCCACCCCAGAAGAAAGGACGCTGAAGGAAGGGAAATCCACAAAAGCCAAATCTCACCCCAGGCAGCTACACAGGTCTCTATATTGAGCAGATCTGCATGAGGAGAGTGAGCACAGCTGAGTACTGCGGGCTTTAGGAGACCCCCTGCAAAATACCAGGATTTAGTCACACTTTTTGAAACAGTAACTGAAATTGTTACTGTTTCGGTTCAGATTCAACCCGAATTTCAAAACAACACCTCAGACTGTTAATTAAATCAGAAAATAACATAGCAAATGGTAGCTTGATCTCACTCATACATCCCTTTTACTTCATAACTTTAGAAATGCAAATGTGGAATACCAACAGCACGTGACGTTAGATTCTCAAGATCATTTTTACAGTGAGACATTGTGTGGATAAATGCAAATATCAACAGAACCCAGAAGCACAAAGCCACTCTTTATTAAAAGATAAATGAAGATCAAATCCATTAACAACCCAAGAGATACGTACGCAACAAAACAAAGTCTTTCAGGTAGTAAGAAGCATTCTGTATATAAGGTAAGTTAGCCAGCAACAACACCAAGCCAGTGATCACACAGACCCTAGATGAAAGTACCTCTGGTGGATGAGAAGCCACGCGCAAGGCAGCAGCGTCCATCTGGGGCCCGGAAAGCCAACGGCATCCTGGGCTGCAGCAACAGAGGGGTGGCGGCGGGCAGGGAGGGGACTGTCCCCTCTGCTCTGCCCTCGTGAGGCCCCACCTGCGGTGCCGCGTCCAGGCCTGGGGCCCCCAGCACAGGAAGGGTGCGGAGCTGCTGGAGCGGGGCAGAGGAGGGCACGGAGATGCTGCGAGGGCTGCAGCACCTCTGCTATGGAGACGGGCTGAGGAGCTGGGGGTGTTCAGCCTGGGGAAGAGAAGGCTGCGGGGAGACCTCACTGCGGCCTGCCAGCACTGGAGGGGAGCTCACAAACAGGAGGAGAGCAGCTTTGTACGCAGGCAGACAGCAATAACGGGACGAGCGGAAACGGCTTTAAACGAACAGAGAGGACGCTGAGGAGAACACCGTGACACAGAGGCGGCGAGGCGCCGCTGCCCAGAGCTGTGCTGCCCCGTCCCTGCGGTGCCAAGGACACGGGCGGCCTGAGCGGAGCTCCACGATCCTCACAGCCCATCCCAACCCGAGCCACCCTACGATTCTACACGGCGCCTGCCTCGTTTTTCCCACACAGCACTTGATTCTTGCTAGACTTCTTCCACGAAGAAACCTTAAGACCAACCTGCCCGAGAAGCACAACCGAACCTTAAAACCGACCTCTTTTAGGATGGGGCTTTGGCGGTCCCAACACCGCTGGCGACGAAGAAACCTGAGGAGAGAGAAGCGCGGCGTTAGCAGGGCGGCACGGCTCCCAGCAACTCCCACCGCTCTCGACGAGAAGTTCGGTTACTCAGCGAAGATATATATATATATATATATGAGGAAGGGAGGGAGTAATAAAGCAAACATAGAGGCAATGCGAACAGAAATAAAACGAACAGAGGCAAAACGAAGGCGCACCCAACGCAGCCCACCCTTCTGCCCTCCCCTCCGCTCAGCCCAGCTCACCGGCCCGGCCTGCGGCTCCGCCATGGCGGCGGGAGGAGCGCGGTTGCCGCGGTGACGGGGCGGGAAGGCGCGGCCGTGAGGGGAGCGGTGGGCGGCGCCGGGCGGGGCGGGGCGGGGCGAGCGGCGCGGGGAGGCCGGCCGCTCGTTGGCTCAGAGCTCCGAGTCAGAACGGCGTTAAGGCCCGCGGTTCCCCTTGTCGAGCCCCGCCCTCACGCGCTCCGACCGACGCGGGGAGCCCCGCCGCCCCGCCCGCCATCCCCCTCGCCCGGCGCCGTTCCGAGGGCAGAAGGGCGGGCGCGGGGCAACATGGCGGTGCTGCGGGCGACCCCGAGCCGGCCCTGCCCTGCCCTGCGGAGCCGCCCCGGCCCCTCCTCCCCCCGGAGGCTGCACAGAGCTCGAGGCCTGGCGAAAAATACCACAGGAGGAGTTCCTATACAGGAGTAGATTTAATAAAACCACCACCAGTTGTTTACTTTAACATAGCTCTTGTTACAGAAATCATAAAAATGGACTCAGCAGCTAGCTCATTAGTTCTTTCCCCTTTTAATTGAAAAATACCCCCCTTGATTTCAATTCCTACTGCGCTAGATGGAGTGTTAAATAGTGGCCGGGACACGGCGCCCGGTAACTGAGCCCAAAACAAACACAAAGACAATTCCATCATCTCTCCTTTTCAATGTTACGACTCATTATAATGTAAGTGAAACTGAACAGCAAGGAGCGCTCCGTTGGACAGATGAGAGGGGATGGGAGAGGAGATCCACAGCCGAAATCGTGCCATAGTCTTTGGAGAAGTGGTGCGAAATACCCCTCCTTTTCCTGCCTCGGAGTTCAGAGAAATAAGAAAACAGCTCTAAGCACACACACACAGCTCCTCCAGGCCGAGGGCGCGTCCTGTGTGCGTGGATGGGAACAGCAGAGTTGGGCTTGGGCAGGTCGAGCAGTACCAGTGTGGGGGAGAAAAAAAAAAAAGCAAAGCATCCTGAATCACAACATACACTCTCCATGAATGCAGTGCACACTGGGGTACCGAGTGTCAGGAGCTCAGGGGGACGGGTCCGTCACCAGCAATGGGTAAGCACAGAACAACGGACGTAAAGGAACTGCATGAAGAGGAGAACTCCAGCTTCTCTGGTGAAAGCCTTCAAAAAAAGTCACTACACCAGCACACGCTTCCCCCACCCCATCCCAGGGAAAACAGAACAAGAGAAAAAAAAAAAAATCAAACTGAAAGAAAATGCACAGCAAATAGACATAATCTTGAAGATTTTTAAAGAATAAATATTTTTTTTGTAATTAAACATTATGCAAACACGTGCCACGCTTGCTCTTTGTCCATGCATATGCGCTATATACAACTTTGAAAAATACTGTGTTGTCCTCTTTTTTTTTTTTCTGTTTTAAAAGTCATATACAAAGTTTTTTTCCTTGCTGTGTACCCCCCTCCTCCCCTCCCCAAAAAGTCATCTTTACAAGGAGCCAATCAACATTCATCCATGTACTGGGGGGGGGCAGAGAGGAGGAGGGGGGCGGGAGGCATCCCCCCTTACCAAAGTACATCAAAATGGCTGGTTTGGACATGAAAAGCAGTGTCAAGAAACTGGTTTAAATTTCATCTGTACTACACACAGGAAAAGAAAGATAGAAAAGAAAAAGGAGTCGGCTTGGAAAATGAAGCTACGTTACAAGTTAAAGTTGGAGGGTTGTTTTTTTTTGTTGGTTTTTTTTTTTTAGTGAGTCTGTCACACTCTTATTGGCCACCTAGAATACTGTTGTACAATGGTTTATCTACCTTTTTTTTTTATTACAATATAATTTACTTAAATTTTCTGTTAACAAAACAGAATCCCGGTTCTACAGACCAGCGGTGTAACAGGCGTAGTGCCTTGTGTGTGTTTTTATTTTTATCGCATGAGCGCTCTAGATGGTAAAAGTTTCAGAGTTCGTTTTATGCGGGGCCAGTCTCAGTCCTCAATGTACTCCCACAGGTCCTTCTCGTAGCCTTCATGCACGTGCTGCAACAAAACCCTTCGTCGACTCTCGCAGTATCTGCAGCAGAGGGGGACAGCACAGAGAAAGCAGGTTAGGAGGCACAGTTCTTTCCCAGCATTGAGTAATGCAAACCTAAATTAAGCCTCGCTTCCTAAAGGGGGGTATCCCCTGAGAAGGGCTTTGTATTTGTAGCCAGTTAACAGCGCTAATTAAGACTTCAGTTACTCCAGTCACTCGCTCCAGGTCCCTGGTTGAAAAAGCATCATGCAAATTTAGAGTTTCCCATGCAAAAGCATCTCCAAAGTCTCTAGAGCTGAGAAATAACTGAATAATAGAGCTTTAATAACTGAAAAATGAAGAAGTGGCAGCTGCTAGTTGGAAAAGCTAAAGCATAGTTTAGCAGTGACACCCGAAATGAGAGCGCGCTCTCAGAGGTGTGCTGGTGCACAACAAACCCAGAGCAGGCTGGGCAAAATCTTGGGAATGCTGACCCTGCTTGGTTCCCAATGGAAGTGGCCAAGCACTGAGAGCAGACTAAAGGAAGGGGACTGGCCTGGCTGGAAGAGAAGCTTCACCCCCCCCTAACTCCAGTGCCTTGCAAGCTCTTTATACCTACACTCGTTTCAACTGATACAGCTGCAAATAAACTGATTCCAGATTTAGGTACAGTCCTACCAGAAAGAATGATAGTGAGGAAAAGGGATTTCATAGGAACATATCAAAAGATGCCATGTTCCTTTCAAGTGTGTTAGCCAACTAAAAACATAAAAGCAGAGAAACATTTAAAGTATTTAGGTTCCAGGAGCAAACTATAAATGAGCAGCTCTAACACTGTTAGTGCTTAGTACCTGATCAGATGGTACTGCACAGAACTGCTCTGTCTCCTGCCCTCACTATCAGCTGCTGCAACACAAGCCATCACACACAAAGTCCCATTGATTTAACAAAGCATGTGATAGCCAACATGCACAGTTCCTGCTTTCCCAACTTCAGTTCTTCTGCAGTGATGGGGGTTTAACCCTGCTTTCTAGAAGCGCTTTTGCAAAGTAGGAGATGAGCTTCCCAGTTCTTTAGACCCCATCTGCCCACCTCAGTAACATCCTTGGTCCCATCGTTATTCCATAAGCAGTACAAAAGAGCACTGTGTAGGACATGATTAAGACGTGACCAAACTAGTTAACTGGGACCTGCACAGGCTTGACAGATATGCACAGGCTTTCCAGAAATATGAAGGCAGGCTTGGGATGCTGTTTTCAGGCAATTCAAGCTATATTACACTCTAATTTTTTTTCTGGATAGATGTAATCATTCCTAGAAGAGCATTCAGTTTCACAGGACTTAAAGCAAACAGCCAACCCAACTTAATGGTCATTTATCAAATGCCTCCAAAGGTCTGTGAGCCTTGGCCAGCTGTGCTGCCAGCCTGCACAGCAGAATGGGCCACTGGCCCACCGAAGGCTGATGGCTGCTTCCAGTCCTCATGTCCTCTTCATCGCTACAGCTTACACTACTTGGGTATATTTCTTCCCCGAGTTAGATGCAAGAAATTTGGTGACTTTGGCAAAACGCCTCAAAAGAAAAGTCATAATCCTGTGACTCATTCGCATTTTACAGCTTTGTATTTTTCCACTGTGCAAAAGCAATTCCCCCAGGACTACAAAGAGCACTGGCACTTGTATCACCTGGGCCCTAGCTCTCCTGCTCTCTTCCTGTGTTGATCAGGCTGCTTCTCTCCCTTTTCCTCAGTACAGCTTTTCTGCACTCACTTTTTGCTCAAGGGATGTGCTATGCAAGCATACTCAACAGACAATGGAAAGAGCTGACTGCTTTATTACAGCAACTTGACCTAGGCCAAAATTGTGGGTTGGGAACAACAAAGTCACTCCTTGTTCTCCCTAGACCTGCCTGTGCAGGTCTGTCTCAGCCCTGGCCACTCCTCAGTGCTCCTTCTGTGCAATGCACAGAGAGCCATTGCTTTTGGTCACCAGATGTCAGGGGCTGGCACAGGGCATTGCTCTGCTGTTGCCAGAGGCTCAAGGGCAGGCTGAGGATCCCAAAGCACAACAGGAGGCTGACATCAAGCAGCTTCCCAGGGACATGACTGGAGAAAATGCCAACTTGGCGAGTTACCACACCACAGCATACCACAAGGGATGACAATACAGTAGGTAGGGCAGCTTTGAGACAGCTGTTCAGGAACAAACCTGTACTTATCCTGTACTTTCTGCTTTATGTCTTGCAGCGAATCTTGAGAGATATCTCGCTCAAGGTACCCAGAAAGCACCTCTGTAGCATTCTCTAAGTCTGCTTGGTTATTCTGTAAAGACGGGGGAAAAAAAAAAAAAGTATTTAGGAGAAAGAAATTTCTTTCATCAGTCCAAATGAAAGAAAAAACAGGATGAGTGAAACTACATAATACTCAAGTAACCTGGTCTGAGAACCATGAATGAAAGAAGAAATTTCATCCTTTGATCAGAACAGAATCTGTATATTTACCAGAAAGTCTTATGTCTTTCTCAATCTGGAATACTTTGGCAAGCCTGAAAAGTCTTTTCCTTACTAGCATACAGTGTGGTACAGGCCAAATTATCTCCCATTGTGTCCCTTGTCTATTTGTTTATCCTCAGCATTGGCAAAGCCTCTGCTGACTCCTAGTACAAGCACTGCAGCATCAGACTACAGCTTGGACTGCTGCTCACAGTAGTTCTGCACACAGCACAGAAGCCTGCTAAGGTTGTGCACCAGCAAAGGATTGTTTCAAATCAAATAGCTAATAGTTTCACCTGCAAAGCAGATCATTTAAATCTTCAAGTGCAATTTTAATGGTAGTGCCATTAGAAAGAGACCAGGGAAATGCAAAATTCCAGCTTTAAGCTTTTGTGCATTCTTTGCCAGTTCAAGCCAGAACTTTGATCCTTTTTCTTGTTTCAGAGTGTGGCAACTTGTAGCCCTGCCTCCTCTCCCAGCAGAGCACCTACACAATGCCTAGCAGGGCTGCTATACTGCAAACAGAAAATTCAGAAAACTTCCATTCAAATGCAGACAACAATTTCTCCGAACTGAAAACCCCTATTTCACTCATCTTTGTTATCTGAGCTCCTGAGAACCACGTTTCCTCCTACCTCAAAGATAATGGACTGATTATTCTTTTTGAGGTAGAAGGCAAAGACGTAAGTGTACATGAGTGTGGCACGACACTGGCAGAGGACGTCGACTGCTTTCTTCAGGAACTGCACCTCAATCCACGACATGTTGTGCTGCTGCATTTCCTCCATCTTCTGCTTCACCTGAGCATAGAGCTTGTGCTCAAAGCGCAGGCTCTGCATGTGGTTCATATAGCGGTTGCAGTAGAACAGGTACCTCTGCAGGGCTGCTCTGGATCTCTGTGTTAATTCCCATTAGGAAAAAAGAAAACAAATAGTTAAAACAAAGTAACGGCTACAAGAGAAGTAAGCCCTTCACAAGGCTCTTCCTGACACTAAGAACAAGCTTCCTCTCCAAAGGAGTTTCCACTCCTCTCGTTGGCCAACAATGTGCAGCACTGTTAACCCTCACTCTGTGCCCAGAGGAGGGGCCAGACCCACTGCAGCTTGCTGTCATGTGGTGAACTTCCCAGCACAGCTGCAGCATCTTCACTCCCAGCCTCAAAAATAATTAGAATCACACTGCTGGAGCCTGAAGTTTTTAATTTCAGCCTCCCATCTCAAGTTACGAGGACTTAAATGCTTCCAGTGTCATGACAAACAGCCAGAAGCAGATTTTCCTTTTTTGGCTATTAAAGAATTCTAATTAAACATTTATGGTGGTTGTGTTAAGAGGGCAACCTTAGGTTGCCTAGGCACATCAATTACAAGGCAGGGGAAGATGCCACGTGCTATGCAGTACAAGAGATCCAAGATGACTCAATACACAGTCATTAATCTCATCTTCTTCTCACTGACAGATCAGCTGAGAACAAGGACAACATGGGCATGGTTCAACTTGCACAGAGTCTGTACAAAGGTAGCATGCATCAGGCCAAGTCATCCTATCTGCAGGAGGTGGGGCTGCAGGAAATACTTGGGTTCTTGGCTGTAACGGTACTTTGACAGAGATGCAGGAAATGATTTCTGCAAGCTGCAGCACACAGCATGCAATCCCTCCCCATTAAAAGTTAGCAGGGGTTTTGGCTGTGCTAGCCATATTCACAAAGCAGTTCAATGTAGCTGCAGCTTCACTCTCAATTTCTCCTTACGTCAGGTCTCCAAGTATAATTAGTGGAATAACTGAAGTCTATGCTATATAACTTCAAGAAGTCTGCTGTGCTTAAACACTTCAGGATTAGCATTAAGAACTCAGCAGTGAAGAGCATTTTCCAAAGGGTGCTGGGATTGCTGTCTGACCTGCAGTATGATGACTTCATGCAAAGACCTGCTATAAAATAGACAAGGCAGCATGACAGATAACAGCTGGGTTACCATGTTCTTTAAAATGGGCTAAAGTGATTTTGAACCTTACACAAGGCAAGAATCCAAAGCTGCTGGTGCTTTCTGGATTCATGCCCAAATTCAGGAAATTCCTTGGGGCTAATGTCTGTTTACAGAAAGCCTGAAAGAATGGCACAGAGCTGATTTCCCTTACCACCAAAGGTTATGGACTCACCTCCTGCGCATCCCTTGCTGCCTTTGCATCATCCTCGTTGTAACGATTGCAGTTGTACCTGTAAACAGGGACAAAAATGCCAGACTCGAGTTCACACAAATGCTTTTTTTCTGATGGCTTCCTCACCTCCCCACAAGGCCCATTTCCAAACTCACCAGGCAGATCCATGAGGCTCCCAGGGGCCCAGACACACCCAGCAGAACTCAGCTTTGCAGTTCTGGTTCCGACAGACCATGTGATTGCAGCCCCCGTCCTTCTCAATGGTGACGTGGCATTTTGGGCATTCCTGTTGACAGTACACAGAGCACAGTTAGCAGGGGAAGCAAAACTGGCTTAATCCTAGGACTTTTAGGCATGGTACTCCTTAACCACCTCCTAAAGTTAGAAGGGTTCCCATAGCAGCAAGAAATGGCATATCAAGTGAAATACCCAATTTCCTTTTCCCCTTTGATCATTAAATTCTTCCAAGTCATGTCTTTAATACCAAAACTCAGAGCTACCAGATAGCAAACCAAAAAAAAAAAATCTAAACCTCTAAGGAACAACACATTTCATCTATGCAGCTATTGCACATCCCTAGCAGTAAACTGGATGGGTTATTTTCACAACCTTCTCCAAAATTACAGTAGTATTGATTGATGATCCATAATTGCCCAGGGGAAGGCATCTGGCTTTCCTCACTGTCAAGTGTTTGGTTCACTGCAGCACTCAAGCCTGAAACAAGCTTAACAGCGAGCTGGTACCATGCTGCTATCAATCTTAGACACCTGCAGTTGTAAAACGTCATCCCAGAAGTATCCAAAAACTAGCAGCAAGAATCTATTGTGCTTTAAAGAAGCTTCTGTCAGCTAAAAAGACAATTCTCCTCCTGGGGCATTTCTACATCTCCTGTCAGGCTCCTTTTTTCCTCTTCACGTGACACCTCACTGAAGACTTTTCTACAGAAGCCCACGTGGGGCTTCCTTTTCAGGTATGAGGCCTCTGCCGAGTAGGAGGATACATCAAAGAGCAGCACTGCACAGTGAAACCTTTGGGGAATAGGTTGTTTTTATTTTAAAATATCCCTCTCGTACATCTGCAGAATGTTGCCACTTCCCAAACCAATATTCAACTCAAGTAGAACACTAAAATAAAAGATTTCTGTATTATCCTACTGAATACACAAAGCCTGAACAGCAAAAAAAAAAAAAAAAAAAAAAAAATCCCTGAGCTGCCCCTACAAACCAAAGAAGACAGTCCAGCTCTTCTGCCACTTGTTCTTGTCCCTGCAGCACTTCACTCACAATAACATAATGCAGATGCATCAGTCAGGAACATCATTACCTTTTTCTAACCAGAGGAGACATCGTGAGCACGATTTCCTATTCCAACATTCAGAATTGATCATTCTCAGCAAAGGAGGTAACTAACATTTAATCAGTCTGCAACTGCTACTTTTATATAGGACACAACCCAATAGAGTCCTGTATTCTCACTCCAGGTGTCTCGAGTATCACCACGAGCAAGATTTGCATACAACCTTGCCTAGTTATACTGTAAGAGACGCTAGAATTTGCACACTGAGAAGTACTCAGAAAATAACTCAAAAGGAGCAAGAGACCAACACGGATCAGAAGTGACTCATCCCACAGGACAAACACGTTACAAGGGGAAGACAGGCAAGGTTTGCATGAAAGATCACAACTTCTTTTTTGGCCACACAGTTCAAGTGTTTTGAGCTGCTTTTCCTTCCTAATGATTACAAAACTCAAGTCTCATTAGTACAGCTTGACCTAACATTGAGGTTAGCCTATATTTGAGGTGAAGGGCTGAGCAAGATGACATCCAGAGGGGCTTTTCAACACAAAACATTTAATGATTCCCCCTCTCTTCAATGATGGTATCACTTCTGTCTTTTCCAAGCCCTGCTCTGCTCCTTCTGCCTGCTTTTGAAGAGGAAGAATGAAGGACTGGGCAGCAGAAACACATGACATCACACAGCCAACAAGATTTTCCTGAACAAGGGTGCAGCCATGCCTTTGAAGGGAGCCATAATGCCATTAGGGCTCTTGATTGGAGAGTGCTGCTCTCCCAGCCATCCTGCCAGGAGAGAACAGCAGCACTCCATCCCATCAGCAGGTCACACCCTGAGCAAGAGGACATGGATGAGATTCCCCATATCTGGGAGTTGAACACCTCCAGGAGCTTGATGAAGGCTTCTTTCTTCAGTTACTTTTGTTCTTGTGCTTTGAAATACACTGCATGCAAGCTGGCTGGTTATTTTGTTTGATCCAGGGCTTTTTTGGCTAGGTGCTCTGATAGGTTTGAGCAGCAAGCAGGCACAAAAGGAAAACAATCCTGCTCTGCTTTATTTCCTACCACTAATGCTTATCCAGCTACAAACAGTAAATGAAGCAGAGAAGCTCCTCTCACACCAGTTCCACTGGGCTGTCCATAAGATGAAGGTCCAGTCAGGTAAGCCTGTTCCCAATTAATTAACCCAGTTTTGTCAGCTTCAGTCAAAAAATGGTTTCCACAGAAGAGACAGTACCAGTATGCTATCTGCTTGCCTCCTCTAGGAAGCCCTTCTCACTCTTCCAGTCTTGCACAAACACCAGGACTCAAGTTTAACTTAACCTGTTACAACTGTGAAAATCCCAGCTTGATTAGCTCATCGTAGTTGAACATAATTAAAAATTAAGGAAAGGCCATGAGAAGAACATGCAAAAGAAAGTCTGAACAGCAGCAGAAAGAAAAAAGCAGCAACCACGCACGCCAATAATGAAATGAGTGAGGGAAATTCATACATCAGGAGGATAGGGAAGGCAGATCTTATTCAGAATTACAGCCATGCACAAAATAACAGCCAGCAAATCAAATTGCTCAACCAGCAGATGATTCTGTACGTTATCTATCACACCATGATGCAGAGGTGACCTCATTAGCATTGTTCCACCCCAAACAATTTGGTGTTGCACTCACACACTGCACTTTGAAACAACAGCCCAGGCAAACCCAGCAAAGGAGAACAGTCTCTAATTTGTCATAAAAAGCTGCATGTCCATAGAACACCACAAGCCACTTTGCAAACAGGAGGCTAAATAGAAACACAGTTTCTTAGGTCAGGCAAAACAGATTAGCCCTCTCCAGGCCCCCAGAGGCAAGTCGTTTACATCAGCTGCTCTGCCAGCAACGCCTTCACCTGTAACCTCCCCTAAAAGACAAATCCTCAATGCCACACAGATTTCATGAAGCACTTCAACAAAATCCACTACCGATCTTAATTGCAGTTAGTACAAAACTGTACACTGTGACAGCACCTAGAATCAGGGAGCAAAGCAGGATACTTTCAACACCTGCTCATCTGAGAGGAAAGATGGCACTTTGACATCTTGGGGCAAATGTTGTTTGTGGTTCTGGCACAACATCATGCTGGCGAGAAATGAAAGAACAAAAGTTAGTTGCTGGTACCCAGGGAGGATCAGCTGGCTGCCAGGATTCTGCTGCGTTAGAACAAATGCAGGGCTTCCAGAAAGTACAGTGAGAGTACAAGTTGAGGCATTAAAAAGTGACCTGAGAAATGGGTTTGTGCCATTACAATCTCTCTTGGAGGATAAAAAAAGTCCAATAGTTTTTGTGAAGAAGGAAGAAAAAACTGCTTGTTTTATACATTAGATGATCAAGTCTCGTCTAGCCCAGAAGATAATGAGATGGAACCAAAAGCAGTAAGGCAGGGGCACTTGTAGTAGCAGATCAACAACTTTCATTACCATCAATTTAATTTTGCAACAAAAAACAGTGCCTGGGGTGAATACCAGATTGTTAACATCTTTCTTCTTCTTCCCTTAATACTCAAAGATGCTGAAGGACTAACACAGAAAAATCCACTTCAAAACCCTTGTTCCAGCAGTTTTGTTCCCTTCTTCCTCCTAGGCTCCTTTCAGGCAGTCCTGATACACTTTACAAGCCTAAAATACACACACAAATCCAAATTGTGTTTTTCTTCATTCATCCTTTGAAGGTTCAACCGTAGTTGATCTGCATGGTTTCTTTGTTCCCAAAGCCACAGAAACCACACAGCACCAGAAAGCTGCCTAGTTTATCCAAGAAAGCAACTATTTAAGAACCAAGTCTGTGTAACAAAGTGAGAAAAAGAAACACACAAAACCTTGAACAGTTCAACCCTTTTGTCTGAAAATGACTGAGAATTAAAGGCTTGATAACACTCACATTGGCTTGAATTTTAATTAAGTTTACAGATCTCACACGTGAAGCGACAGCTCATCTTTGTACAAGGCCATTGACTACAGCCCATGCTACTGCAAGAGCTGCTATCTTTTGTATAGGCAAATCCAAAAAAAAAATTAGCATAGAGGCCTCCTAAGAATAATGCACTATCCAGCTTATAGTGAAGACCACAAAATTCACTCATTTCTCATTCAGATCGCTGCACAAAACTCACCAAAAAACACATCGTGTCACTCCGGTTTGTGAACAGAAACCAGTTCATTTTTCTACTCTCTCATAAAACAACTGCTTGATGTTCCTCCCCTGTTCCGCCTCCCAGGGCAAGGTGGAATAAACCTCTCTCATGTCGTCCTGTTGCAAAGCATTACCCAGACTTCAAGCACACGCATTCCAAGAAGACCAGTATTTTTGGTTGCACCTCTACCACAATAAGCTGGGAAGCGTTCTTCCCTGAACAGAGACCACAAGGGATAGGACTGCAGCTCAGGGCTATGCTCAGAGAACTTGAAAGATGCCAGAAATTGAGACAGCAGGAGCAACAGAAATACACTGAAAATAGTGTCTGACATCTGACAGTATCTAATTCAATTCCCTTCTAGGCTTTTCAAAGTGAAGAAACTCGATGCACCGGAGCTCCAAAGCATTTTCTTGCACCTCGAGGAAGTAACTTAGACAGGGATGTTCAAGGGCAACATCTCTTCTGCCACTGACACCAGACTGCAGGAACTAACAGATAAGCTGGGCTGATGCCAACATGGCTTGGCCACATTCATTTCCTCCCTTCACCATCCTACGGATGGTGTTTCCCACAAAAACAGTTATTACTGCTGACATTCAATCCTACTTCTGAGCTATGCTTTAAATACCACTAGCATGGCTCTTTGATGGCTGGTTTTAAAATGATGGGATGGAGAGCTTTTTAAGCCATAGCTTTAAAACACCAGTAACACCCTGAGGGAAGCAGATGCTCACCTGACCCCCAAAGGCTTAGTCACATGAAAAATAAGGCTGCTATGTGGCAATGTTCCAAATATTTGGGTCCCAAGGCTAAAAAAGCTGCATGCATACTCAACCCTTTCCAAGTTATTTGGCTCTTCTTCCTCAGGTTTAGCATAGGGAATATCTGAAAACCAAGCAAACTTTGAATAAATGTGATTTAGTTCTGGAGCTACAATTCATCTCTGAGCACGTTATTCCCAGAAAAAGCCACATTTGTTTTATTGAGCAACACTCAGCCTCCAAGCAGGGACCACACAAATATCAACCCATGAAACAGAAAAAAGCAGCAGACTGCACAGTTTCAACATGATTTTAACTGTGCATTTCACCGATGGGTGTTTCTGCTTTCACCATAATACAACATTCCAGCTCAATGAAAAACACGCAGCCAGCCCCAGAAAGAAGCAGTGCTGCTGCAAACAATACCATTGACCAGTTACACAACAGAGCTAAGAAAACAAAGCAGCCATTTCCTAACACCCTCCCCACCTTCTTCCACCCCTCTGGCAGCCACGAGACCCAGGTCTGCTCCTGGCCCTGATGGCATCTGCTTCCTTTGTTTCCTCCCTGCTGTGCCAACCCTTGCTTTTATTCCTCCCAAATCGAGCAAATGCAGACAAGCTGAAGTTTCATGCAAAGTTGAGCTAGCTGGAACGAAGACATTTACATAATAAAATCCTAACAGCTGTTCTGCCAGGCTCTATCTGGAATGATGCCCAACGGAAATGAACAACTCCTCAAGAGACCAGCCCAGGGGATTTAAAGGCAGACGTAAATTATCACAGGCGAATCAAGCCACAGGTGGTGTTAACATGTTTCACACACTTGGAGTGAGGCACTGATTTGCTTGGGGAAGCCATCAGTGCCAAACAGGAGCCCCAAGACTTGAAACCTGAGTTTCCTTTGGGTCTCAAATCAACTCCTCCACATGAACACACCTATTTAACCAGATTCGAGGCAATAACACCTATCGCTGCACTTCAAACAAGCACTGATTGCATATTTCAATGTTTGCTCTTCATGACACGTGACAGAAAAAAAGCAATCCTAGAACTGAGGAATTAGATTGCCATTCTTCTTTCAATCTGATAGCGCATGTAAAATACAAGGAAAAAACCCTCACCTTTGTGTTTGCTGCAATCCAATTAGAAGTTTCACTGTCATCATCACACTTCTTAATCCATTTCTTTAACCACTGTTAGAAAAACAAAGGAGAAGTTAAAAGAGAGGAACTGTAAAGGTCCCCAAGAGAGCTGCTTACATGAAGGTGATGGCAAGGAATGCACAGCCACGTATGAGCTGAATGCTACCACAATGAGGTGTGACTTCACAAAGCTTCCCTTAGTGGATAAAAATCTTCTGTCTCACTCTCTAGACACACCAGGAGAGGAGAAAGAATCAGAACTCTAAGGCATTATTACTATTCCCAAATCCTATCTTTTGGGGATTGTCTTGCTGTAAATTGGGTAGGGAGAACAGTGAGGTGATGTTGGGAAGCAGTGCAAAGAGCTGCAGATACTTCCTACTGCACCATCACAATGCAACTGATGCACAAACACTTCAGCAGTGAGTTGGCAGTTCTTAAGTTCAACTAAGAAAAACCACATGCAGGACTGTTAGAATTATTTTAACTGCGATATGCAAAAAATGCAGTCAAATCCTGTGCTAACTTCATATCAAGTCATAAGATTTTCCTTAGACTCACACTATCCACTGATGCCTTGGCCATGTACTTAGGTTTTTACTTCTTAAACCTAGAGGAAGCATGGCTACATCAAGTGAACACAATTACAAAAGCCTGCTTGCACCTTTGAGATAACTAACTGACCACAGGGTTTGGCTGGTCTCTCCAGAGAATGCACTACACCTTTGGTTATGCTTCCTTCCCCATTCCCACAAGAAAGATTTTTTTTGTATTCATCACTGGAGATGGACAGACTGCTCTCCTCAAGGCACAAAGCATGTCTTCTGTGAGCTCCACACTGGGCCACGGGATCCCAGGTTTGATTACAGCTTTGGACAGCTCCACAAGAAACAGCAGTGCACGCTGTATGAAAACAGGTGCCAGAACCAGGACCCAACTCCCTCCATGCCACAAACCTCAGCCCTGTGGAAGCCCTGAGCTTCCTGCAGAAATGCTGAGTACAGAAATACTCTGTAAAGTGAAGCATCACTTCTGAAGCTTCCTAATTCTTCTTGAGGGTTTCGTCTGGAATATCCTTCTCTTCCAGGCACTTTCCCAAATGGCTGAGGTTCACAAAGAAAGTGAAGCATCCTAAAGGCATCCAGGAAGACTTCTCTAATTCTTTTCATGTTACCATCTAAACAGGTGAACTAAAATGCTTCTCGATATGAGCAGCTGCAAAGCTTGTGCTTCATTTCTGCATGTCTTGCACATAAGTTGACTGTAAATGTTTCCAAGTCACACACTTAGCAAAGAACTTTGAGATGCTCACCTTGCATTTAACAGGATCATGCCAGTTTTCACCGCAGTTAAAGCTGTAAGGGGAAAACAGCAAATGAAGTACACAGCTATACTTTTATTTAACTTGGTTAACATCATGGGAGTTCTTTTGAGAGGCTCTGCTGAAAGAATATGGAAAACCCCAAGGAAACCTTACCCATATTAAAAAAAAAACCTCAAATCCCATAACTCCATTTGGATATACATTGCATTCATCAGTCTGGGTATTAATATTAGATTCAACAGGGATTCATTTTCCTTCTAGCAACTCAGGTAACCTTGCAAAGTAAATTAGCTATCTTATAAACAAAGAAGGTGAACAAAAGGATCTCACTTGGGAAAGACACTCGAGTTCACTAATTATTAACTTGTATTAGCTTTCATTATTTCATTTTATTAACACTTTCAAAGTGCTAGGTAGAAGGCAACCTTGACTTCTTTTGCTTTATTGTTCTCACCAAAACTGACGTCCACATTTGCAGCGAACAGGTTTAGCATCAGGATACTGGACTTTAACAACATGGTGGCAGTCTGGGGCAGGACACCATTTTAACAGTCGATTACACTATGAAATAAGGAAAAAAACATAATACAGTGGATTTGAACACGTACAACCAGGAAAAAGGGACAGAGGTAAGTCTTCAAAAATCAAAATAAGCTCAGAACAGTGCTTTGGGAGCAGTGAAACTAGCAGTATTTTGCTAAAAGACATTTTACAACTTTACTTCACATGACGAATGTTTAAGGCACGTTATTCTTTATAGAATGGTGTTTCATGATTTTCAGCCTGAAGCGTCTTAGGTAGCATTCAATAACCATAAACATTAAGTGCTTCTAAGAAAATAAACACTGAATAGCTCCTGTAATCTCTTTATCTACAGATACTTACCATATTTTTACGTAATACCTCCGCAGACCTACAGATTTTCTTAACTATTCTCCTACAACTACAGTTATAACTATATGGACTATGAAACAAGCCCTGAAAAGCCTTTGATTTGCAGTTATATCTGATTAGAGACCACACAATAGAAAACCTGCTTTACAGTTATAAAGAAGCCTCACTCTGGTTCAATAATAAACAAGAGAAAAAACACTCTGGAAGCCATCACAAATTGCAAATCAAAACTCACCTCTACAAAACTATTGGTTATTAAATGCTGGTACTTTAATTTCACCTTGGAATCTGTGATCAGACGCCTGCAGAAAAGGAAAAAACAAATACATTTTTGTAGTAGAAAGCTCCTTTCTCCCCTACATAACCAGAAAGTCAAGAGAAATGATTTTGATTCTTCTTTCTATGCTTGCAGGTTTCTTTTTCGTATTTCCTATTTATTCTTACTATGAAATTGAAAGGTATCGGATTTAACTTCTAATATTAATTACAAAATCACATAGAAAGCTCACATAGTCCAAGAGAAAAACTGTCTAAAGAGTGAGGATGATTTTCATTTAAAAAACAGTTTGAGAGACTAAGAACCAGAGCAAACAGCTTCACCAGCTCATCCATACGAAACAGTCACACTTTGTGTCAAACTCCTTTGCAAGTCTTCAGAAGAAGTGCTGCATTGACTCTGGTAGACCTAATGTTACCTGGGATTCAAAGGAACGCTACCATTTCAGTTTTAAGATCAATGTGGTTTTAATCTGTTGTATTCATGATGAAAACCAAAGTCAATTTAAGTTCAAAACTGATTTAAATTCAACATCACAGAGGGTGTATACACACCAACTTTAAGTCAGCTCAGAAGGAAGAGAGCAAAGAAAACTAGACAGATAGGAATCCTTTAATAGCATGGTGACCACTTCCGTTCTGGCCACAAGGACCCAGCATGTGTTTGCAGACTATCCATGCTATATGTCTTGTAAGCTGTTTCATTACATACTGCTGAAGACCACTATATCCATTTTTCAGTTCTGAAAGAAACATTTGCATTTATAAAGCCTCACAACATAAAGCTGGATGCACTTTGTGGTATTTGTTTTTAAGTTAAACTGGAGTTCAGCTTGATAGAACCACACCACATAAATATTGCAATTAATACACCATCTCAGGGTGCAGCCACAATCAAGCGTGCTCTTGCATGTTATCATGCCAACGTGCACTGAAGAACAGCACGTGACTTTGGGACGTTGCATAAACCCTGGCCCTGAGCAGTCTGGGGAGCTCCTCAACAAATGACATGCAAGTTATTACATAAACATAGCACGTGACAGCCAAATTCCCAGTGCTAAAATAAAAACAAACCAACTGACAAAGCATCTCATCAGGCCCTTGTCTGTGATAAGCCTGCAATGTCAGAGCAAAACTAACCAAAAAAGGAAAAACCTGAATTTTAACATGCCATGTGAATTCCAAGACTCGCTTTCTTACTCTATACATAAGCTTCTAAAGCATAAAAAATACAATAAGTTTTATCAGTGACATTTAATGTATGCGTGAGGAACTGGGATGTGAGGAGCAATGCCATACCGAGGCAGAGCACATGGAGCACACAACCCACTGCCTTTGCTTACCAAGCTCCCTGTCTGTGTCAACACCCTCACCTGCTCTACATTCGACTTGGAGTACTATTGGGTTTTTTCCCCCACAAATAATGAAATAAAACAGAAATTAAGAGACGAAACCCATACCCAGTGCCCACAAACCACCCTTTGGGTCTATTCTTCTACAAGCCAAGATACAAAAGCAAGTTGGAAAAGTAAACTGCTTGCAAGAGAAGTATCATCCCTTCATCTCTACTGATAACTAAGTTCTGAAAAAAAAAAACTACACACTGACATTTTAAAACTGATTTCAAATTCATCTGAAGACTGCAGCTGTCCTTTACTTTCCATATGAATTTAAAACAATTACCAGCACCTTTAGCAAGGTGAAGAAGAGCTGGAAGCAGATTACCTTCAGCTAGTCTAAAGATCTCCAAAAAGCAGAAAGGGGCCCTTTCTAAGCCTCCCTGCTTCAGCTCAACAAGAACAGGAGCAAGAGGAAGACCAACAAACAATCTGCTGGTTGAAAATTCACAAATCAAGGCAAGTCATCTGGATTGCTCAGCTTGGACTTGTAGACTTGAATGTAGTTTGCACATGTACTGCTGTGTTGAGACAAAGTACTGAGAACAGAATAAATGAATAATTTGGCCTATCTAACCTATGTGATAGAAAAGGAAGCTCTAATGTCTCTCGACAGTACATGCTGCTCTTTGGCTTCTAAAGCTTAGAGCTGGAGGATTTACAAAAGAGAAAGAACTAAAAAGAGAAAAGCACATTGGAGGGGAGGGTGAAGGTTCCAGATGGTATTACTTATGTCTTTGTTCTTGCCATTTAGTAGAATTGCTGCAGATTATCATCTTCTGTTTTCAAGCGAAGCACGAGGATTTTACAGAAGATGCACCCTCCTTCCCTCTGCCAGAAATTCCAGGAATGCTCCATAAGATCAGGGAAAAGTAGGTTTTTACCTCCATATCAAGTTTCATTTAGATCAGGAAAATCTGTTCACTTTAGTGAACAAGTGTTGTTCTCTTGTCAGATGCCCCTACTGTTTCCAGGTGAGAGAATCCCACAGCACGTGGTTGTGGTTCTTTCTACTATAGTAACCACAAAGCAAATCACAGGGGTCATCAGATCTACTGTTAAATATCACACAGCAGCAACAAAGCCAGAGCTGCTCTTCTCTTCCATCCTGCTACCGCCACCACCATTGCCTCCACCAATTCCAACACCTTCAGCTGCCTATTAGAAGAGACACACAACACATCTTACAAACTGTTGTAATCAACAACACCCTTGGGAAATTTCCTGCTGCGAGTGCACTACACTGCAGGTTGGGTTCAGGCTCCAGCAAACAAAAATCTCAATCATGAGTTGACAACTTAAGTTTAGCTTCCACTCACTGAACTCCACAAACCACCCCTCAACAGCACATGAGAGCATTTCAGCTCGTTCACTTCTCTGCAGCCTACACACTATGAGTAACAGAGCTGCTAGCGCAGAGGGAGATGGGAAGTCACCAGTCTGGGAGCAACTGACAGAAAAAACAGCAAATTAATATCAATGAGTGAGTCAGACTTCAGGAAGGAAGGAGTAAGGTAAGAAAAAATGAGCTTCTGTTTAGATGCCTTTTAGCATGAAGAATTAAAATGAACTTAATCAAGGTTCAGTATTACGAAGGATATTACTCATGCAATAACATCACTCAATATAAAAGAGAAAGAAGCTCAAGGAATTCATTGCTTCACTATGTGTGAGCAGTCATCCTTCAGCCAGACAAGTTAATGAGCAAAGTGACACAGTCTGACATACCAGTTTAATCAAATCTTATGTCTGAGGGTCAACTTCTCTCTATCAGAAGGCATAAAACACCCCCTACATCGCACAGTACACAGGGCCAACTTCCTCTGACTCACATACCAGCTGTAGGTATAGGACCTAGTGAACCAGCAAGTTGACCAGGTGAGAAGTCAAATTGCTACATAAACTGAAGGAAACTAAATACACAGAGCAGTTAAACAGGGTTTGGAAAGACTTCCTAATATCTATTCTACTGTCTTGATGACCAAATTGGTCAAGAAGTCCTTCCTTCACATACTGTGGCACGGAGTTTTCAGACCTAAACAAGTCAAGAAATGTTTAGTATCAAAACAGACACTTCAGCACCAACCTCACCGGTACATTAAAGTTCTGCACAGCTCTTCATAACATTTGAATAGCACATTAGTAACAAAATGAAAAAAGAGAGGAAAGACCAGAAGTAGCAACTCTCATACTTACATAACTGTATTGTCATCAACTAAGATATCACAGCCATGAGCAGGGCATGAAATGGTCTGCAAAAAGAAACAGAAAGGTCACAAAAGGAACACTGCTTATTTTATTTTTTTATCACAAAGAATTTCAAGGCAACAGACTTCACTACAATCCATAATCCAATACAAAAACAGTCAAGTGGCTTAATCATCACACCCCAGATGTTCCACTGTGCACAGCATGATTCCTCCCACTCACAGCAAAGATGCATGCACCAACTGCATGCAGTTCCCTCAGCCTCTCTCATGATAAAGACTGTAACTCCCAAAGTTTTAAGCTATGAGGGCTTTCTCATTGCTGTTTCGTGGGTTTTCTGTCGGGTTTTTTGTTTGTTTTTAATTTTTAGTGAAGAACTTTCCCTTTCCTTCCCAACACCCAGAATTTTCTGAAGACATGGGGTACACAAGTTGACATTTTACCTGTCCCATGCCTTCCTCCATTATTTTGGTAGTTAAATATTCACTCCAGCACTGCATACAGAACTTGTGTCCACACTCTAGGCCAGTAAAGTACTGCAATGACAGAACACAACATATCAGGTTATTTTACCACACAAATTCACTGCATCATTTCACCTTTCTCACTGTTGTGCAGTTGACTGCATCTCTCATCCCCATACCAAATCTGAGCCTCTACTCCTTATTTGTATCATCACCACCTCATAACATTGCTAACACATCTCTAGACACGCTTTCAAAGTCAGACTTGAATCCCCAGCCCTAGCAGCTGGGGAAAGGTGTGGCTGATGTTTCCATCCTGTCTGCCTGTTTGAATGGATCCTCATCTTAAAATGGTTCTCCCTTCATTTTACTCTTGAAAATTAATAAAATAAAGGCAGCACCAAACAGGTGACAGTTATATGATAACACCAAGTCTTTTTTTCCTCCTCTTGGTCCACATGGCTTGCTACCACACATAAGCGCTGCCCATAGTTCCCATAATATGCATACCTGCTATGCACAGACACTAATTTAGCTCCCTCTGTACAGGCTGTGAGAGGTGATCAGCGAGCATTCAACAACAGAAACACAAGTGTGTCCACTTCCATTTTAATGCACACACAAAGTTTGCCAACTTGCTTGCTAAGCTTCCCTCTGAAACTCAGATGCTCATCAGATGAGGATGCTAAGCGGCAGGTGTAAATTTCTAAATAAAATTCAATAATGATAAGCTGCTGGAAACAGCAACTAGGACAGCTTCACCTGTGAATGGATCACCTACACTGAGCACACCAAGATAGCATCCGGGGCTGAATGGTTACACAAGGGTGGAGAAGAAAATGCTGCTGTCGAAAGAGTGAAATAAGTGACTTCTCTATGCTCTTCTTGAAATTTATTTCACACTGAGAGCCAGGAGCAGGGACAAACTACCTGAAGCAGTTCATTTACAGTACTTACAGCACAGCTCAGCTTTACACACTGCTTTATTCTCACTTAAAACAAGAGCTCCACCCCAAGATGCCATCATCTTGCATAAATCTCCATAAATTAAAGGAAAGCTGGTATTCTCCACAGAACAGCCTCAAACAGCAGCAGGATGTTGACTGTTAAGGAGAGAAGAGTCCATCTGAAGGACTAAGGTCATCCTTAGCAAACTTCAATACTTCCGCAGCAAGCACACACAGGGGAGTGCTACAGAACTGCTTGCCTTCAGTTGAGACTGTTATTTCAGTGAAAAGATTTGCTAAGTGCTTGCATAAAGGCAGCCACCACACCTCCTCCCAAGCTGCAAAGAATTCAGAGCATCTTCTAACTCATTTCTTTATTTTGAGGGAGTTCCCAATTATTTTTGGCTAAGCTGACTGCAGATGTCAAGGGAACAAGCAAAAAGACAGAAGCACCCAGCCCTCCTCTAATGGGATCTGAAGGATGAGATGCCAGAGGCGTATTTGCCCTTTTACACGTTTCAAAAAGCAGACTAGCATCACCTGCAAAGGCACACAACAGGGTCAATATTCAAGAATCTTGCATTCTAGGAGCCTTACAGTGTAAAATTTCTTAACAGGGTGCAACTCCCAGCTTTCCATGAGCTGAAAGGAGCTCTCAGGAAAAGCACAGTTTTTTTCTGGGGACAAACAATGAGTAAAAGCTGACCAAAGCAGAGAATTTAACAGCTGAGATTTTAGGCCAGATATTTCACTTATCCTATGGACTGAAACAGCTTTAAAACAGACTTGAACCAAATGGAATTTGCTCTCCTTAGACACAGAGACACTACAGCCTTTTACAGAAATTGTAAGCATTGATTTCCCTGTACACTCCAGCTTCTGGATATGGCAGAGACCAAGAGATTTCCCTCAACCATATCTCAAGTTAATCAACACGAACAATTTAGAGAAACCCTGCTCCCTTGCAATGCCTTACTGCTCCAGTTAAGAGCTCTCTTCTCATAACTGGGCCACTGCTATTTTTACATGGAACTACAAAAACAAGAAGCGTTGGTGTGCTTTGTGTAGTTCTCTCCAGCAGCAAGAAAGCAGTTTCTCAGGCAGCATAAAGATAAAAATGAGTCAGTTGCGAGTGCTGGGCACAGCAAATGCACTAAAAAGAAGGTAAGCAATTCATTAAGGAATAAAAATTCAAAAGGACCTTTCCCTGTGATGGACATTTGGGGAAGAGGTCTTTTACTGTTTTCCCCCTTGCTCCATCTCCTGTTTTCAAAGATGTTCCATAGCCTAAGTGATTTCCTCACTATCTAACATGGAAAAGTGATTACATAGGATTTATAGAGGTACAGGGATAGAACAACTTCTCAAACACATCTTTCTTTTTAAAAGCATTTCTTCATACAAAGCAAGCCACAGTCCTCCTTTGCAAATATTCTCTAAAAAGGAAATCATAAGCACACATATGGCTTAAAGAGAGACACACAAAGCCTTGTGGTCACTGCCCCAACAGTAATCTTAGCACTGAGCATTACTTCTGCCTCAAACTGAGTTTCGCTCTGCTCACTCCTGAGTGAGGAAAAGGCTCCCAGGTAAGCCCATGACAGCAAGAGCACTCAACTCAGGCTACCCAAAACTCATCATGGTTTCCATTAGTGCTGAAAAGCAAGTTAAAACATTCCCTGAGCAGGAGTAGATGTCTTAGAAAGGGGCTGCTTTTTTCTTTAAAGGTCAGGCAAACGCTATGGTACTTCAGGGAGCCAAAACAGCTCCACCGGGAATGGCAAGATCCCATGAAGGAGGAACTCCTGACATATGCCAGCACTCTGCCTTTGGGCAAAACCACTGATGGACTCTCACATTCAAGCTTTTCCACCTATATTCTTCCTGAATTTCCCATCATAATGCTCTGCCCCAGAGAAGCCAACAGCAAGTTGCTTGCCTGTGCAAAACACAGCAGAACCCCGGATCTCTGAATAGTACTACTGGAATATTTAGTGTTTATGAATAGCTAAAGAATAAGTGCTCTCATCAATCTTACCATAAACTGAAAGACTGAATTAGGGCTCCCACAAGTACTTCTACCCTAATCTTTTCCCATTACAGAGGTATTGCAGTAGCACAATAAAGAACTGGACAGAAATATCACTGATTGCATCCTCTGAAGTGCATAGCTTTATTTTATTCCTAGGCTCACCTAGTTTTATGCTGAATGCTGTAGCTTGCCTACTTTACATTATTATTTACTTCTTTTAGAAGCCATTTCCTTTCCTGGCATTCTATTTAAGTAAATCCCTTTGCTTGTCAGGCTTATTACTTTTTCCCCTTTCATCTGTCATTTATTTACATGTCTCAATTACTATCTGACCTTTTCAAAAATCACTTAATCCACCACTTGCCTTTTCCTGAATAACTTTACCACCCCACTGCCCAGAGCCCAGCATCCTCCGAGGTTTCTGCAGAAAACACTGAAATACAATGCCACTCCATCTTTACCACTACTTTTTGAAGTTTACTTAAAAACAACAAAAAAAGTCTGTTGAGGCACACAGTAAGAATTAAGAGAATGCATAAAGCACACATATTCCATGGTCCCTACTGTATTACACAGATCACAAGACACTGTTTATTGTATTAAGAGACAACCTTGAATGCTGCTTTCCAGGCTTAAACTAGAGATAAGAAAGCTCAATCAAAAAACGAAAACTTGTTTTGAGGTTTTTTGTTTCAAGGTTTTTTTCAAATGCTGTTGGATAAGTCCTTACAGAACTGCCAAAATGTGAAGATAGCAAAGCCAGGAGTTAGCAGCCAACCAGCACTCTGGATGCCGACACTCACCGAGTTTGGGTAGTTCAGATAGCAGATCTGACAAGGCATATCCTGAGCTGATGACCTTGTGTTCATCTGGCGCGTTCGAGACTTTTTACTTGGATTAATTACATGACACTCAGCAAAGAGCTTCTCCAAGTTGCCATCAAAGTACCTGCAGAACACAGGAGAAATGAAAATTTAACTACTTTCCTTTAAGTTGTTTTTAAAATGCTGCAGTTAAACACACAAAGTTGCTTCAATGCTTCAAGAAAAAAACAAATACAACACACCAACTACTTTCAGCAGACTCTTTGTTAACAAGACAAACTGTTTTCCTGACTACAGAAGTCAATATTACAAACATGGTTTCAGAGACTGAGGCTTGAAGTGTACGCTCCTGAAGACTCAGGTACATTCAGCTCTTCAACTGCATTTCAGATAATGCATAATTCTCCACGAGACCACTGCGTATGAAAGCCCCAGGGCAGCAAACTACAACAAGAACATCTCACTTCTCCTGCCAGGCATCAGGACACCTTCCCAAAGCACAGGTTTGATTCTCAGCTTCAATTCTCTTTTCGACTTACGTTTTTTGGTTAACATTTAATCAAGACAACAATAAAGAGAAGGCAGAGAACAGCCATCAGTTATCATCCAATGATTAGCTGACTCCTAGCTCCTGTACTCGGTGTTTTCCTCAGTGTGTTTAGTATATGTTAAGCATCTTAAAGAGGTCCTGAGGAGGGTCAGACTGGAAAGAACCATGAGCAGGCATGCCAACCTCTTCCCAATACCAAGGCACTGCATCTTTCTGCAGCCTGCAGCACTGGCAAAGAGTCACTGAGATCTGACAATTAACCAGCTAACCTTGCCTGCACGTACATCTCCTTTTCACTACCAGTAAACAAGTCATTCCATTCCCTTCTTCCACCACCAGCAAGTTATACCCACATGAAGCAGCATCTACTTAAGAACAAGAAGAGTTAAGAAAATGTCTTGTCTTCTATTTCTCACCAAAGAATACTCAGCTAGTACCACCTGAATCCTAGGACTCCATCCTCACTACAAATAAACATGATATTTTGGCATTTATGCCAAACCACTCAATTGCAGTGCCCTCAAGATCATTATGTCATGAGTCAGTGCACCACTCAGAAAATGGTTCACAGCTGCTTCATACATTCCTTGATGCAGTTCACATGCTTTATATCTTATTTTCATGACACTGAATTTTGAAGGTATAGGTGTATTCTGGAATCACAGCACACGAGGCTTGCCACTGCTCTTCGGTGTTAGCTGAGAGATTTAGCTTAACCAAGGTATTTGGCTTGCCTTCAGGATTACTTATATCTAGAAAATTTTAGGAAGTGAATTCAGCACAGTTCTGCTATACAGCTGTTTACTGAAGTCACAGATAAATACTAACTCCACAAAACACTTCCAGCATTCAAATTGTTCTTATATGCAGCACAAGCAGCATAGGACATCCTACATTTGAAAAGAGCAGGCGGTTATTCGCAAAGAAAGTAGTTTCAAGACAAATCCCATGATGCAACCTTACTGCTGGCATGTATGGTTGGCTCAACGCTCATGGAAATACCAGGGATATCTGTAACAGTGGGCTGTTTTTAAGGACATCTCCACAACAGGAACTTGGCTCAACACTGTCATTAGGTAGATCTCCTCTTACAAAATCTGCAAAGGCTTTGGAGCCATGACACCAACAGCTGTTTTTTCACCTGGAACAGTCCCCCCCCCTCCTAATACCATCAGCAGCCAACTCTGAAAACCCATCTCCTTCCTGGCCTTTCAGTAGTTTCCCAAGAACAGAGAGGAGTTCACCATTTCACTGGGCTCAAGGCTAGCAATAAAGCTAACTCAAGTTAGATGCATAAATTCTGTATCCAATTTAAACATTTTCAAGCACTGATGCACTGCTGAACGTTCAGGTGCTTACATTTTGGTACTTGATCCATAGCCCACATTAAAGTGTTTCCACCTCAGAAGCACCTGGTATCTCCTACACTTCCCCAGGAAACAAATGAGGCAGCTGAGAAACTCAGCACAGCCACACAAAGGAGTAAGGAACTACATAGAGATAGCTTAGTTTTGCCCTCAGAACTGCTGCATTGCTAATTTGTATAGTGTTTGCTCTGCTCTTTGAAACTGTAAACCATACCAACATTGAAGGGAAATGGGGTACTGGGTCCTCCTCCTCCTCTCACAAGCTGTTTTCTTCCAATGCATTTGCTTTCTTCACTGTGCCAGGATGCTTTGAGCAAGTCATTTCCACAACTGTTTGTCTCTGACTGTCATCATGCAGCAAGAAAATGTGAATTCTATACAATGCCTAGGAAAAACCTGGAGTTCCCTGAACACACACAACTGAAACAGGAACTCCAGAGTAAAGTCCAGCAGTTCTCCAACCACTCCACCACTCCTTGTGTCAACACACTCAACCCTACCCATAGGTTATTCCAGCTCCTTCCATGGCTAAGAATGACTCAATTTCTATTACCACACCTTTTTCTCCACTTGTTCAAGTGTCAGCACAGGCTGTATATCTGAGCAGGTCTGCCCTGTGTTCTTCCCCAAGACAATTTTGCATTTGGTAGCTGTGGCAGCCTTGCCAGCACTGCAGTCTGCTACTCACATAACACTCTTCCTCTGCTTGACTGTCCCAGCAGAGCTTCTCAGCTACTTTCCATCTCCATTCATCCTTCTCATATCAAAGATGAGAAAATAAATGCAGCTCTGACAAGATTTCACAGCAATCTCATACAATTTCACTTGTGCTTCTCCTGCAGATATCTACCAAAAACATTCTATGGGACACCTGCCCTTCTTAAGAGCTCCTTGCTAGCAGCTACATTTTCCATCTACTAGAAACTCCATAGTCTTCTCCATCTCTTTTGATGAGACCTGTTGTAACTCTTTGTACAGTTTCCATTGCTAGGACCCTCCCAGCTGTTTTTCTCCTATGTGACATCTGGATTTTCCTTGGAACTGAATGCCTCTGAACAGATTTGTGACGCTTGTTAAGCGTAACAAACATTCATCCCCTAATTAACCAGTAAGGGACTTATTAACAGGTTTCATCTAGTCTGCTACTCCTCTCTTGAGCAAAGTATTTCTGCACAGACCTTAAGTCCTGTATCTATAACATATGTCCTCCTATTTGATTTCATCCATGCCATCACCTCTGCTGTGAAACCTAGGAAAAAAAGCCTTTGAATTCCCATTTTTCTTCCTTGAAAGCTCCAGGTTACCAGCCATCCACCCATCACTCCTCTCCCACTCACCTGGATGCCCTGACACCTGTTTGTCATCTCCTTTTCTACCTCACCAGATTCATGTGGGCCACGTGACATAAGTCATTTCCAAATGGAAACTGGAAGATTTGCTTTGTGCCTTAATCTCATTGCAGAGCTTTCCTTCACCCCAAAGTCTGATTCTCTTGACTGTTCTGGCACCATCCTTAAAGCCCTGGCTATCAAAGGGCTGCTTCTTCATAACTCGGTCCTCCTTTTCAGCCTGGAGGAGGGCAACAGCACCTCTCTCCCATCCTTCTGACATTAGTATTCATTCACACAGGCCTAGTAATTAAATCCCTTATGCTTGTCTTCTCTCCACACAAAAGAAATCCAGTAATTCTAGCACTAATGGCATTCAAGAACTATTATGGCCTATTCAACATCAGATTTTGCTCAATAGAGCTGACTGATAAACTAATACAACCAGCTACTGAAGTTCATTTATTTCATAACAGATGGAGTTGCTTTCTCTGCTGTTTTGCACTGAACAGCCACAGAAGTAAAAACACTTTTGAAGTTCTTCTATAATTTCTTTATAGATTACCAAAACCAAAGACACTGCTGTTGGTAACTGCCTATGGACGTAATAAAATTACATCCAAGGGAATATTTAACATGAAAACCCTCTCCAATCAAAAAAAGGGGGAAAAAAGGCTTCTGGTACACACTTCAGGCTATTTATTAGTGAAAGGGCATTTGTAAATATCACAGAATCAATATACCTTCACATCAAATACCTGGCCATGAACAGTATTTTATTTTGTTGTTTTTAACCTGCTCAGTCCTGCTGAATAGCCTTAAGCACCTGCAAGCCCCAGGGAGTCAGACAGACCTACAGACAGGACCATGGAAGTAAGAAGGAAAGGCAACTGGAGCTAGCAGTCAAACCAGCAAGTTAAAACCAGTGCAGACACAGCCACACAGAGAAGCACCTGTGCTGGACTTCAGCATCTCTCTCTGTACCTCCAGCAACTAAATCAGGCGTTGGCTATATGCTGAATTAATTCTCCTTAAAACAGTTTAACATCTCTATTCCCCAAGACACATGCAGCACCTGCACATACACCTCCTGCACTGCCCACTTCTATATCCTTCAGACTATCCCACTCCAAAACACCAATCTGGCTTTCAGACCCAAATAATTAATACTTCACCAGCAGATAAGGCAGAGTTTCAGCTGTGGCTATTACTTCACCACAAGTGGAATAAATACCTGTAACACACCTGCCCTTTTAGTAACTCCATGCAATTATTTCATGACAGAGCTGTCACAGACAGCAGTAACCCACTTATTAAAAACTGTATGCAACAATACAACATAGCAATGAAGAGGTTTTCATGTTTTAAAATACAGAAACGTTCATCTCACGAGCCCTAGGAAGTAACATCAGCACTTATAAAAAAAAAAAGTCACTTAGTTTATCTGCTCTGCTACAGGCAAAGACTGATACAGCTGCCTGCCAGGTCCTGCTGATTCATGATGAACTAGGGTAAAAGAGATGCTGGTTAGCTCTCTCTACACACCATTAAGCAACTTAGCTCAAGCTCAGGCTTGGTGTGCTATCAAATACTTGAACCTGCACCCAAACATTATATCTGAGCAAGCAGTAAACCCATCCAAACAGCAGGCAACAACAGGAACTTCCTGGGAAGCTTTCCTAATGGTTATTAAGAGTGAAAGAGGCCAAATTTATAAGAGCTCAAGTGCTTAAAATAAGAGTCACCATCTGTAGCTAGCTCATGGCTTCACTTCCAGCTCCATCACTATTTCATACTGGCTGTTTTGTTTCCTGGCTGTCCAAGTGATCACTTGCCTCCTACCCTAATACCACAGCGATTACAACATCTTGTTCCCCACTCTACCAAGAGCCAGCTGTCAGCATCTTGCTCCTGGCTGAACGTGGTGTCAGCAGAGGGCTGCCATGGCCTTGGTGACAGCTGTCTGATGAAGAAGTGACAGAAAGCAGCAACAGCTACTTGAGAGAAAACCTTGTTGTGTTTTCTAATCCAGTGGGGGTATCTGCACTGGAACTATGGGTAGCATGTAACAGCTCTGCATAAGCAAGGGCCACACATTACGTTTCTCACAGGGGTAATCCTATAGAATTAAAGTAAGTATTTTAATGAATACGTACAGAGAGTAAACGTTTCTGTGGACTTTGTAAATATTTACACATGCTTAATTATATTTTGGCTGCAACCTGTAAAAGCTTTCTTTTAACAATAATACCTCCCACTGAAGTGGCTGACACCCCCGTCAAAAAAAATCCACAGCCCAAGTTTGTTTTGCTTTCAAATCAATGCTTAAAGCAAACTTTCAGTGAGAAGGGCAAAAAAAAAAATATCTCCTGAATACACAAATGATGGTTTGGAACACTTATGTGAGGTATCTCTAAATGAGATGGAGGTAGCCAGAGAGTCCAACCAAAGGAACCAGTGCAAGAACCTTAAAGAAGAAGAATGAAGAGACAGAAGTTACACAGAAGAACTAAATCTGAATGTTTAACAGTTGTAGTCAACTTAAATAGCCTCAGAGACTATATGAAAGCTTTGTGCTATGGCTGAATATACTTTCAAGCACTGCCTAGAGGTCATCAATCTAACAAAAATAAAGCGAAGACTGAAAAGCTTAAAAAAAAACATAGTTCAGAAAAAAAATCTAAGCCAAACAAAACATAAGATGTCCCAGCACCAGCACTACCTGAAACTGTTAAGACACCATTCATTCTGTCAGAAAACATTTCAGCTCCAGAACCACCAGCTAGTAGTCTACTGCAGACCTGCTGCTCTTCTAGTTGGTACCAACCAGCAAAACTACAACCCCTTCTGCACAGCTTTAGACTGCAAAGCATCCTGCCTTCTCCTACCCTAATCACTGGGTAAAGCAAATGGCAATAACAAAATCCTAGAGTCCTTCTGTCCTCACTCAAACACTTGGTCCAAAGACCACTCATAAGTCCCTGTGCAGCCTTCACTGCTCTTTCTGATCCAGCCTAATTTTTTCCCCAGCTTCTACAAGTAAGCAGACTTCTCTAGCTCCTTAGGATCTTTTCAACAGCAGCAACGGTGCAACAAAATAAATGAAAACTAAAAGTTCATTTTATCAATGAACTGGGTTCAACCCAGCAAGCTAGAAAGTACCTTTACCAGCAACACTCTCCAAGAGTTACGCATCAAAGATGAGAAGCAGCCATAAACTGCTCTGCTCAGAGGGAGACAGCATTCCAGCCATTATTTATACACACCATGCAAAAAAAATAGTGCTGCAGAGGTGAAGATAAGGCAGATGCACTTCACCAGCACTCTTCATCATAAAGATGAATTTGGTCTTGGCAAGACTGAGGAATAAACAAGTCAGGAACATACATGCTAGGATGACATACAAAAAGTAACTAAATCCAAACCCAAAACAGCTGCAAGATAACAGGAACCTGTTCCTGCTTGCTTTAGTCCAAAGTGGAAAAATACAGTGGCTGCAGGTAATCAAACCAAGGTATGCCTTCCTCCAAGGGGCAACTAACTCCCAAAACTTCTCTGAAGCCTAACAGGCATTATTAGCATTAAAGCCAGGAGTTATCCTGCCAGTAAAAGTTACTAAAGGAGGAAACATTTAGAGCTTATACAAGAGGTTCTTCTGCCACACACCATGCAATTCATCTGTTTACACATCATGCCTGCCAAAACATTTATTACTACATTAATGTGCAATGTGGCTGCTTACCTCTCCATCAGCTTCTCTTTATCCCAGTTGAAATGGCTAAGCAGTATTCGAGTGATAGTTGCTGGATTCTAGAAGAAAAAAGAAAATTGAATAACTGTTTTAACACGTTAAAATGGCATTGTGAAAATCCCAAGCAAAGTTTTAAATAATAAGGATGTCAATGTGTTCGAGAACTTATTGTCTGCACAAATGATGTTAGCATACACTGGAAAAGGAGTTTGGGCAGACAGAAAAGGTCCAGTATCTCAATGCCCCACATGCTTACACAACATAAAACCAGGATGCTGCTACAATGCAGAAAGGGCAACTGGTCTGGAAATAGTCAACTTTCCTTTCTACAAGCTTTTCCTCCAACTTCATCTCTCCCTTCCAGCCAAGGGTTTGCAACAAGGACCCCAACAGAAGCCATCTCTTACACCCCAGAATTGTGCCTTAATTCCCTAAATCCACACCGCTCCAGCTCAGTCTGAGGACTGTTCACACACAGTGCAGGCAGTGGTGAGCAGCCCAGGACTGGCTGCATGTCCTCTGCCATCTGACACCAAAATGGAAGTTTGCCTCGGGGCAGATTTTCAGCAGACTGTGAGGCTGCTGAAAAGTAGGACACAAAACAGCAATGTGATTTCAGAACCTGCAGGCTATAGCTGCAACTTCAAGCTGCCAGAAGCCAGCCCAAGCATCAGTCCCACCCTCATCTACTACACATCTGCACATCCTGCACTTGCCATCCCACGGGAGTACAATTTTTTTTTTAATGCTGTAACACTGCACATTTACCTCCTTGATAATTGATTTTTTTCCCCTCTAATCCCTGATAGTCCCCAATCTCCTTTATTGCCTGACCACACCACTAGCTGCAGCAGCACGAGGTTCAGGGCAGGAATAAGAAGCCAGGGACCAGCAGGACAGCATCTTTCAGCAGCAACACCAATATTCACTGAAACAGAGCCTCATAGATAAAACGTGAGCACAAAGAACTAGCCGTGCAGTGTTTGCTATAAGTCACACTCCTTTCCCTCTTCAGTGTGTTCATACGCTCATCAATACCAGTGCAGTTTAAGACCAAACTAAGAAAACCTTCCAGCCTAAAAAACTCACATGAAGCAAAGCAGCTTTAGAAACTCAGAACAGCTCATTTAAACGTGCACACTTCCTAGAACTAAGTAATCAAAGGTGAAAATTCACTTTTCAGCAAGCAAGCTGATCTGTAAGTGAGCTTGGTTTGAACACCAGCTCCCAGAGCAAGCACAACTCCTGCTCTGATGAAATCTCCATTTCTCTAGGACACATCTTGCCCCAAAGCAGAGCTCGATGTACCACCCTATACAGATGTACACAGCTGTAAGCCACTCGATAATTCAAGTCCCTCACCCACACCACTCCATAGCTACAAGTGGGGATTACCTATTAATTGCTTAGCAGGCTAAGGGGGTGACTGATGCAGTGTCTGAGTTTTCTATTTCAAAGAAGACAGACGGACAAGTTTTCTCTGTTCTGAATGGTAAGTTATGCTGGTAGCAAGGAAATAAATTGGTCTGCAGTGAGTATCAAGCATCACAAATCCAACACAAATAAGTAGCTCTCACTGGCTTGCTGGGCTTCAGCTTCATGTAGCTACAGCACAATTTGTTTAGTGTTAACTGAATAAAAAAAGGAAACAGCAGCAGCACGACAAGCTCCTACCAGAAATAGCTGCTTGGCCCATCCACAATCTGAAATGTAAAACCTCACTAGGTGCTTCACTGATACAGAGGAATAACACTGCTCTGCCCTTGTTATATTGCATGCAGGAACTTAATCCGTGCCTGCGTCACGCAGGGAGGACCCAAGGAGAGGAGGGAGGCAGCGATGACAGGCTTGGTTTGCAAAATACAAGTCCCAGATAAATGCAAATGCAAAAAGCTCTGGCATAAGGGACTGGCCTAATTCTTGGCCAGGCACACCTGGGAGGTACAAGTAACAGCTGCTCAGCATTAACTGCCTGCACACACATCCTTCTGACAGTTATTTGGGAGCAGCTCTGGATCAGATAAATCCCAGCAACCACCCCAATGAGAGTCACAGAGCAGCCCTGTCCCTCACCTGGGTTGTAAGACGCTCTCAGTTGTATCCACGGTTAAAACAACACCAAAATAATTGAGTTCCAACCCCTGCTTTGATACTGGTTCTGCTACAGCTCTGCAGCAGCACTATGTGAGACATCAGCAGTCACTTGGGACACCTGCAAGCATTACCAAAGCATCCTGTGGATGCTGCTGTCACACACACACACAGTGTCTCCCCTCCCATCCCGACCAGACAGCTCCCCACCTGCACACAGGATCACGCTCTGGCTGCAGCCCCACAGGGATTAACCATGAGCAGGCCCCAGCACTGCTCAGACAGGATTACTGCCGTGCTGGGAGAAGCCTGCTCTTACAATGAGCATCTTTTGTTTAACAAAAAATAAAATAACGACTGAGTGAAGCAGCAAGAAGCAGATGGGAAACTAAGGGAAAGCAAACGCATTCAGACACTCCGTTTTCATTCAGACGCAGTTTGACGAAAGCTGAAATAGATCTCATTTACAACAGGCACCCATTAAATTCTCCACATTGAGCCGAGGACAAGTGGCTGGAGCTCAGGGCAGCGAGCCTGTTGATATCCTGATAGAAATGAGAGCTGAGGAGCGCAGCCATTTTGTTGAAATTCTCCGGGCACTCGGAGATGTGCTGTCACAACATCCAGCAGCCACAACGCCGAGCTCTGCCCAGTCAGACACAGGCAGGCTGCAGCTGAGGTTTTGTTTAGGTTCACAAAGCAGCCAGGTCCCAGTCTGCTTCAAACAGATTCCAGCCCCCCCACCCCTTGCGGAGGTATTAACACTTACCATTTGTATCTACACTATGATATTTAGACTCGCTGATGCACACAGGATACATAAGGAAGCTACAAAGTCCAGAAGTCACATCCGGACTTCTCCCAAGAAGCAGCACAAACTGAAACAAAATTCTTTGATTTAGCAGGATTTCAGGAGTTGGGTCACAATTGCCCAAGTTCCATTTTTTTGGCCACCTAAATAAAGGCACAAAGGCAAGGGAGGAACCTGGATGCACAAAGACATTAAGTGAATTATAAAACAAAGATTATGAGGACATCAGCTTAAAAGTGAATTTCCAAGCAGAGTAATTTGCTGAATGACAGTTTGCAGTGCTTGATCCATTCATGTCTTCATCTGTCACAACAAGCTGCGTGGTTTTTCCAGACAACAGCATCTTTCAGATTCCAGCTTCTCAGCACGTGCTGGGAGTAAGCTGCTGTTCCAATTGGAGCATTCACTCCAGATAAAAACCATTTACTAACAGCTCATCTTAAGCCTCGTTCTCCAACAGAAGACTTTCCCATCTCCTTCACACTTGGTATTGATGAATTCATTTTGTTTCTTTCCATTTCATGGCTTTGTGTTGTGCTTTTTAATCATGGCAAGTTTTCATCCTAGCTGCAAGATTTATTTCCTACCAGCAGCAGCTTGCTCAGACTTGCTCCATCAATACGAACTTGATGCTGCTTCCAGTTTGGTTTTCAACAAAGCTGCTCCAGTAGTCATGAAGGAAAGCACCTGGTTTGAGGATATCAAAGTGCTTGAGTGCAAAGATGAAGACTTTTGCTTGCTAGTGAAACATCACACAAACTGGTGGGAAAGCAATGGGTTGCCAAAGAAAGAGGTCAAAATTCCACCTGTGTGAAACAACCAGGCAGACATCTGCTTGGTGTCATGCCACCACTGTAAATATTTCATCAGTGAAAAACACAGCACTTGCCAGCAGAGAAGCACGGAGTGGAAACTGCAGCTGCCCTCTGAGCACGTGCAGGATCGAACGGCATCTCCCAGGCTTCCCAACGCTGTGTGCATGCAACGTGGCACAGAAAGGAGAATAACCAAAATAACCAACATGCCACATTTGACAGCAGATGGACTAGGAGCAATTTCACCATGAGAAGATTCGGAAGATTTCTTGGTCCATTCCAGATTTCTGGCTTGCCTTCACTGCAGCTCAGCATTGGATGCACTGCTCTCAGGATGGCTCCAGGCTGCAAGGGATGGCTCAGCACAGGGAACACTCATCTGCATTAAATGCCACCACCCATCAGGAGCCAAACATCCCAACAATCACTCAGTTACTGCAAACCCTGCCAGGCTTACACTGTCACTGCTCTCTGAAGACCAACAGCTCACTTTCCACTTGCAGCACAGTGCAACCAACAAAACGCACCAGGCACTGCATGGCTGTCTCCTTGGTCAGCCAGTAGCAAAGTTAGCACTGAAAGCACTAAGTTCTGCAAGGACTAGATCACCTACTCTGTTCTAACACCACTGCTCCTCACTTCATATCTCCATACAGGTAACTCTGTATGTTTATCCCTAAGCGTTTAAGACAAGCTTTTAACCAAAACTGCATTACAGAAGCACTGTCACCATAGGGTTTGCATTGCTTTACAGGCGTGCTGAGAGATCTTTGTTTGGGAAGATCCATTCACCTTTATTCTTACACCAGACAATTGCAGGAAATCTCACAAACAGAAACCCATTTCTAGCAGCTTAATAAAACTCTCAGGAACCAAACGCAGAAGATGAGATCTAAGCATGGAGCACTTCCAGGAGTTGATCTCCTGAAGGGTTTATCTTCAGGCTCACTAGTTTTTAAGAACACTGAGTGCTCTGAAAAGCTGCTAGAAAACTTTTGTGTAACCTAATATAGCTTGGCTCAGTTACAGACAGCGAGAGTGCTCTGTGAGAAGACGAGGACAGCAGCAGAACACACCAGTCCACCACTGCTCATCCATCCTCTCTTCTGCCAACCCTGAGGCCTGGAAGAAATCTGCATCACAGTGCACTTCTGCCAGCCATGTCACAGCTTATGGACGTGGACCCCCTCCAAAGTCTGCCTGAAACTGTACTAAGAAACCAGTACTATTCACATTACATCCCACTTATGATATCTTTGCATCCTACAATCGTATCAAAGCCATGCTAAAGTATAGTTTCTAGCATAGAATCACCCAAGTTTACCATCTTCTTGCACTTCCA